CTGTGTTGTATGATCCAAGGTTGGCATGATGGTGGAGGACACCATGCATACTGGAGATGGCAGCGCACATTGTGATGTTCCCACCACGTTGGACAGGAACATCTATAATGGCTCTGTGGCCAATTATGTTTCTCCCCCTTCTTCTGGTCTTTGTTAGGTTGAACCCAGCCTCATCTATAAAGATGAACTCATGTGGGATTGCATGAGCATCCATTTCCAGTACTCCCTCAAAACAAGGAACAAAACTCAGTCAATATGGAGTTATCCAGTACACTGGGAAACAATGTTGCGTGTAGTGTACTGCAGTCAATATGGTACTTTCATCCACATATGTTCGTCTGAGCTCTTTGTTTCTTTGAGAGTTTCTCTCAAACGGCACCTTATAAAGTTGTTTCATTCTGATTTGGTGTCGCTTCAGAATGCGAGCCAATGTGGACAGACTGACTCGTGTTTTCTTGGATAATGTGGATTTTGAATTTCTCATAATCTGATTTCATTATTTTCCAAAACCAAGTTTACAATGGTAGCTTCCTGTACCCCGGTGAACATTTGGCCCCTTCCTCCACCAAGGTGTCGTCTCTCAGTCCTTTAGAAAAAATAAAATATACAGGGCTTGGACAATGCAGCATAAATATTTTTCCCCCACAGTAGAGTAGATTGTACAGGAAACTTGTACAGTTCATGAATGGCTGATGTCATACACTACTGTAAGTAAACAGAACACTATGACATAGGGTGTACTACATGAAAATTTGGTTACATACCTGTTCTCTAGTCTAAAGGTCCGGATGACAGAGGCGACAGTAAAACGGCTCAAGTTTGGCTGCACTCTCTGTCCAGCCTCACGCATTGTCAGCCCATGGTTGATGACATGATCTACTAAGGTTGCTCTGATTTCATTTGAAAATGTTTGTCTTCTTTAGCCATGAACTCCTCTACCTGCTCTACCCCTACCTCTCACTCTTCCTCCCCCTCTTATTCTCAACCTCCCTCTTCCTCTTCCTCTCTGCAACATCTTCCATTGTTGTAACAAAAACGGTGCTCATCTGTGGCCTTTTTATAGTGCTTACATCCTGATTGAAGCGTTAACAATTAACCAATGAGGTGTTTGGCCAGGTGGCACATGTAATTGGCCAATTAGCTCATGTAGTGTCATTTTGAATGGTAGTGTTTTGAAGTGGCAAACATGTGACTTTATGTCAGATTGTTGTGTCTTATGCAGAGAACTGTGTTCAGTGCATAAAAAGTGGCATTTTGAAATGCAAAATGTGTGTAAAGCAGAAAATGTGTTTAGACGTTTTGAAACTTGAGAAGAAGTTTTGCTCTTTGTGTATCCGTTTAAATAACTGTGCTGTGCATGTTATTTTATTGTGTTAGCAATTGGAAAAAACTGTAATAATTATCAAAAAAAGTTTAACTTTGTCATATCAAGGAGCTTGATAAAATGCACCCAAAAGCCTATAAATCCTAAAGGAAAATTCAGAACTTCACAAAAATTGATGAGCATATGTGTCATAACATGTTGAAGAAGCATGTACAGTTATGGAGATCGGACCATAGGTGACGCTATAACTGTTAACATAACATAACATAACATCCATTCATACTATACATATACTGTACACACTATATTTTGCAAAGTTAATTTATTTAACACATATTTCTTTTTGTTATTTTTTGTATTCATACTATACATATACTGTACACACTATAAATGTGTTTGTGTGTGTGTGTGTGTGTGTATGCGCATGTGTGTGTGTGCGTGTGTTTGTGTGTAAGCATGCTTTATGAAGTTAACATGAAAAAAAATGGTTTGCTTTAGTGCAGAATATTGGAGAAACAAAGTATTTCAAAATGGAAGTGTCCCAATAAGTGGTCTTCTACTTCCCTCTGCTGGCCACTTTTCTTATTAATAGTCTTTTCACATGCTACATTGTGGTAAACCATCCTATAACATGGTATATCAAGGTATACAATGGAAAATCATGTTAGATTCAAGGTAAATCATACTACAACATGGTAAATCATGAAAAATCACATTCAAATATGGTTTATCATGGTAAATAATGCTTGCTACATAAAACTTAATGTCTTTTGATGCTTTTGTGCTTAAAGGCCTTAAAGGCCTAAACTGCTTGAACTCCGATAAATGCTGCTTGCAGCTTTAATTATGTTCTGTGTTTGTGTAGATGCTTCAGCAGCTGAAGAATCTTGCCCTGGAGGCTGAGACAGAGCTGGAGCGTCAAGACGAGGCTCTGGATCTATTGAGTTGTTCTACCGACCACACCACCATGAACATAAACAGGCATACCAGCCGCATGAGGAAACTGTTGTGAACGTAATGCTTAATGCCAGATTAATGGTAAGATATTCAACGGTATACACAAAAAATCTTTAGAAAGTGTGATCCTTAATAGAGCACTGATTACTGTAAATTCATTTGATCTTTATGAAGAAGGTAGAAAGCTGTAAAGAGCGTGAATGAGGTTGGGTCTTATGTCAGTCATGTTAGCAAACAATAACAATAATAGCAAGAGCAAAAGGTTTGAATTAAAGGTTATGCATTTTGCATACTAAAAAAACATGCGCGTAAAGGTAGGGACAACCCAAACCAACGCCAAAGAACTAGTGCTGATGAAAGCTGACTGTGTTGTCGCCTCGTGTTGCCTGCGTTGGGGCAGGGAAAAAATGCATTTAGAGTTCTCTCTATCTAAAACTCTGGCTGTTCAGCTTAGTGAATGAGCGAGCAAAGAAGTCAAAACGGTACAGATATAAGCCTGTTCTAATTTTACGTAATCTAACCTGTGTGGTCTTTAGCGAATATTTCAATATTAACATGAGCGGAGTGGAATAAAGAAAGAGATCAGCAGAATTGATAATCAAAACGGTTAGCATGCACTGCTTAGTTTGTGTACACGGTTTGTGTTTTTTCTGCAGCCTGCAGTGTCGGCTTCCCTTATATATCTGCAGGAATACTCTCATTTACACGCAGGCGCAGAACACAGAAGTTGAGAGGCGGCTGTAGTTCTCTCCGTGTATTTAATTGCATTTTTTTCCCACGACGCAGGTGATGTGAGGCGACAACAGAGTCAGCTTTCATAAGCGTTAGTTCATTCACTCAAAAAAATGATGTGTTAGCTTTACTTAACTTTTTCATGTAAACAGGTTCCACCGGTTCCACATAACTTTGTTTTGTTAAACAAACATAATTTGTTCATGTAACTTCAACATCATGGAAGTCATTTTAAGCCATCCAATCAAACTCTGAGCTGAGTGTTAAAGTTAATGAGACAATTAAGTGAATAACTGAGTGAGGATTGAGCATTATTGAAGACACCTGATGATAACAAGCAGAATCACTGAAGGAGAAAACCAGAATTTTAAATCACCGTTATGGAGATCAGTGTCTGCTTTAGTTGGTCTCTTGACCCCTATATTATTATCTTTAGATTATGATTGGCTGTACATGAGTTATAACAGCCAGATGATCACATAGAAAAGGTGGAACTGGGGATTGAACCACCAAACTTCCGGTTTGTAGTCAAACTGCAATGAATCACTGTTAAATTTACTTTATGGATCATAACAGCACTGCTGTTGTAGAACATACAATTTTAGCCTTTTCATTGAAATTCAAATGATCAAATCAATAAACAAAAAAAAATTTCTGGGTGCCACCAATCAAAATTCATTCATGGCTCCCATCATGCATTGCTGCATGAATAAATAATGAGCTTAAGACACCTAAAGCAGAATCACAAGGAAAAAAATCGAAAATTGTAAGCCACCGTTATGGAGATGAGTGTTTGCTTTAGTTGGGCTCTTCACCCTTATATTATGATTGATTGATTGATTTACTTTAATGACCACACAGCCAGGCTGGTGGAATTTGTTTTCAGTACAGCTCATTTCTTGGGTGCAGGTTCCAGAAAATACATTAACAATGAACATTAAACATATAGAATACAATACCATACATATACATACAGACAAAACACAAAACACAGGCATAAAGGGTAACGGGTCACGCTTAATCCAGTCCTCAGCGTTCAGAGTTCAGAATGTTGATTGCTTTCGGAAAGAAGCTGTTTTTAAAACGAGTTGTCTTAGCAGCGATCGTCCTATAACGCCTCCCAGAGGGCAGTAACTGGAAGAGGTTGTGTGCAGGGTGAGAGGTATCAGCAGTTATCTTGTGAGCTCTACGTAATGTCCGTTTGTGGTAGAGTGCTTCGATGGATTTCAGTGATGAACCGATGACTTTAGATGCTCTGTTGATGACACGCTGTAGTTTCTTCCGAGAAAGTGAATCAAGACTGCCAAACCAGACTGTGATGGATGTGGTGATGATGCTTTCGACGATGGCCATGTAGAAGCGAAGCAGAAGATGAGACCTTACTCTGAACTTCTTGAGCTGTCGGAGATGAAAAAGTCTTTGCTGGGCTTTATTGTAGATATGATCTGTGTTGATTTTCCATTTAAGGTTATTGCTAATGTGGATTCCAAGAAGTTTGAATTGATCAGTGATGGAAATGGGTTCACCTTCAATGAGCACAGGAGTTTTGGGGGATGGTTGACGTCTCAGATCGACGATGAGTTCTTTTGTTTTTGATGTGTTGAGTAGAAGATCATGGTCTGTACACCAGGTCACTGCTTGATTGATCTGTGCACGATATACAGTTTCTTGGTTGTTGGTAATGAGTCCTATAATGGACTTTTATAAACTTTATATTTTAATTTACTGTTGAATCTGAGTAATACCTTCCAGATGAACAAAGATAAACAATTATAAAATGATTTTGGACATATAATGACATTCATCATTTGAAATTTATGTCTGTAATTTAATCTGTTGGTAAGTGTATAACTGAAATTCTGCATAAATATCCAGAATGTTCTCAAAAGATGTTTATTTTACATTTTTTTTTTCTTTAAGGCACACACAGACCTCAAGATTCAGTCAATGCTTCTCAACAACGGTGACTAGTAGAATATTCAATTAGGAAAAGTAAATTACATAGACAATTCAGATCATAATTTATTCAAACCGCAATGCATGATGGGAGCCATTAATGAGTTGTGATTGGTGGCAAGAAGGACTATTAATGTCACCACGATTGAGATAGACAGGCTGATTATTGATATCTGTTTCTACATAAAGATTAAGTGATTTGCTCAGAATAGTTTTATTAAATATTTTCCGTTATAAGAAAATACAGATATGTTGTATAATCACTAAACTGTTGCTAGCAAGTTAATCCTAACCATCAGAATTATGAATTTTTGGAGTTTACAGATCACAGCATGATTATGTCAAAACATAACCAACACTATCGGATCACAGTTTTCTTTGTTCATTTGCCTGTTATAAATCAATAACAGCAGACAAACAAAGTTTAAAGTAAAAGTGTAAGGGTCAAGAGCCCAACTAAAGCAAATACTCATCTCCATAACGGTGACTTACAATTTGTGATTTTCTCCTTCAGTGATTCTGCTTGTTAACATCAGGTGTCTTCAATAATGCTCAATCATCACTCAGTTATTCACTTAATTATCTCATTAACTTTAACACTCAGCTCAGAGTTTGATTGGATGGCTTAAAATGACTTCCATGATGTTGAAGTTACATGAACAAATTATGTTTGTTTAACAAAACAAAGTTATGTGGAACCGGTGGAACCTGTTTACATGAAAAAGTTAAGTAAAGCCAACACATCATTTTTTTGAGTGTTGGCTTCAGTTTGGTGTCTCCCTACCTTAAGAGTGTCTCATACTATTTGTAGTAGGGATGTCAAAGTACCAGTACTTTATTACCAAGTTGACACTAAAATAAAATACACCTATAAAATATAATGCTGATTTTAAATGCTTACATGTGTATTTGTCCATGTGCTCTGTGAAACATGCTCATGTTTATGCTACTATGTGTGAACAATCAAATAATCTTCTTAGTCACTAAGCCCTTTATATTTCTGCATCAGGCTTTATTGTAAATGCAGCCTACTAGATCTACTTTTATTAATAGTTCACCCAAAAATGAAAATTATCCCACAATTTACTCACCCTCAAGCCGTCCTAGGTGTATATGATTTTCTTCTTTCTGCCGAACACAATCAGAGTTATATTAAATAATTTTCTGGCTCATCCAATTTTTTGAACTTCCGAAAAGCGCATCCATTCATCATAAAAGTAATCCGTTTATAAAAAAGTATAAAAAAGTTCATCAACTATGATCATTGGCTTCCGGCAACAGCCATACGCATGTTCACAAGAGAGTCAAGTTCCGGCGGAAGGGTCGTCTGTTATAACTTTTTGTTTTAGACTTTAGACTAATTTGTGACACGGCAAAGTGCATTTGTCAGTGGCGCACTCATGACTCTTATTCTGCCTGACAGAAAGAAAAGCTCGTACTAAAGGAGGAGCGCTTGACCAATCAGATGAAAGGGGCGTTTCAGCACCGCCCACGTGTGCAATTGAAATATCAACCGATTTGTAAACCACAAATGAAAAATCGAGCCAAAATCTAATTTTAGTTTTTTAAACTAAACAAAAAAACGAATAAACGAGCTGGTTTTCATTTCTCGTTATTCCATTCCAAATCAAATCAAATGACCAAAAGATACACGGACCCGCCAGAGAGAAATGCACATTTCATACAGATTACATAAGCTGTGAGCAGTCTGTTTTCTTTTGTTTTGAATTGTTCTGTTTAAAAGTAGACATTTCAATAAATATATATTTCTCAGGTCAATAGGCTTATAGGGTTTCGATGAGACGAGCTCCAGTTCACGTGCGTGATTATCTCTGCTATATTTACTTCTTATTTATTAAATCCAAGCAATTGGTTGATGAAACATTTATTAAAATTGAGATACAATTACTACAAAACGAAATTAAATTTAAAGAAAGTCTTTGTGCTTTCTGTTTGAGGTCTCTGAAAGTTTTAGTGTCGCTTCCAGAGAACATTGTGTCACAACATTGTTTTTTTCCTCTTAAATGCGAACACGAAAAATAGTTTTTTAATATTCATTTTAATATTCATTTAATATTCATAATTCATTTAATTATGTTCTGGGGAGAGCCAACCCTTCATCTGGTGGGTAGCCTAGTATTACTTTTGGTTTGTACAGTGTAATTTACAGAATTATAATATATATATATATATATATATATATATATATATATATATATATATTATTATTATTATTATTTTGCCAGCTAAATATTAAAGATTTTTTGTGTCGCGTCCGTGTACGCGTGTGCAGGGGTGTCACTAGGCCCTTTTTAGGGGGGCTTCAGAAATTCATGCCTAGCCCCCCTAAAAATTTGTGATTAATATGCTACACAAATTCGTGTTCGCTTCAATCTTGTTTTAATCAGATTCAGCGTGTTCTTCTTCTTAAATCCGCAGTGGCGCCGAGGCTGATCAAAGAGCGCGTCAAAAAGAGAGGAAATTGTGTGTGTATGTGTGTTCATCTGAGCCCATTGGTCTGTCACTGCTCGTCAATGCCCGAATATTTGAGATGACCAATCAAATCAAAGTAGGCTGGCTTTACATTCACAGACGCTGAGCGCGAATTTTAGCAGCATGACTCGACGCTTCAGTGTACGGGCAAGTGCGAGATAAGATGTAAGTAGCTAAACGTAATGTTATATATTTGACAGTTTTTGAGCTCATAAATGTTAAACGAATGACAAAAAATAATCAGGAAAACTAATATAGTTTTGTCTAATGTCGCCATTTTGAACTGAAATTAGGCATGTAATGTCAGCCTAATGTAATCATTCATTTACTGTCATTGTGAGGGGACAAGAAACATTAACAAAGCCGTTTTCATCATCTTACAGGATTAATACATATTGAAAATATAATACAAATTAGCCTTTAGTAAATAATAAAAAAAGCTCATCTTTAGGAGGGGAAGAGAATGGGCACGATGAGGAGACTGGTAAAAAAAAGAAAGGATGATGGAGATGAGGAGAGACCAGGTATTGACAAATAGTCTAACATAGTTTTAAAGCTATTTCTTATCCTTTTTTTGGTCTTCAAACGTCTTGAAATGTTCTTATCAGAGATTAAAAAATGTACCCCCAAACCCCCACCTCAAATGTAGGACCTCTTTGATTATAAAGCCCTGTCTACGGCCCTGTATTAGGCATCACAATCAGAAAAAGCTTTATCCCAAGTGTGCTTGCACACACAAGGAATTTGTTTTGGTGCTGATGTTTCCAGTGCACATCATAGAGTGCAAAAAATGGTGCACATATACAAATATGATAAGGCATAAGATCAATAATGAATGTGTAGCCTTTAATGTGAATTAATTTTATAAACTTAGTTTCCTAGTAGTTTTCAGTAAATGAACACGTCTGAGAAAATGATTCATAGGCAAAATCAACCAGTTGACCCTATGTTTACTTTCTTCACTGACAGACAAAAATGAAAAGCCTATTATCAGTCAAAGCTCAACTTTAGAAGGGGAAGAGACAGGGCAAGAGAAAAACAAAGAGAAAAAGAGTGTGATGCTGATGAGGAGAGAAAAATAATCAGATGCCAACTGACATGGTTTTATCCCCCCAAAAAATTGCCTTCAAAACATCTTAAAATGCACATAATAGTTCAGAGAATTCAAAATTTTATCGGGGAAACCCCGAACCCCCCTAACTAGCACAACTCAAATTCAGGTCTACAGTGATTATAAAACCCTGTAATTGCAAGGTAATGAAAGTGATCTGGATGGGAAGGATTACTCTGGGAGTTGGAAGGGGTGTGTCGCGATTCTGCCTTCTCACATCGCGATACAGGATCGTGGACCTGAGTATCGGGATTTTGTTTTTATATCGTGTATCTTTACTGCCCTAATATTAACCCATCATAACCCATCATAACATTTTAAGCCAACACAACATCGGCCATTGAGCGCGTTCTCTGAATTTGTGTCATTCGACTACAACATTCGTAGCTGGATGGATATGTTCTTCTAAAGCTTTGAAAGCATCGGCAACAGTCCGACCTGTATCAGGCAGCGTAGAAAACTTTGAACCCCTCAGCTTCCAGGCTCTCTTATAATCCGGCGCGCTTCCTCTTCTCCCGCCACCGATCTTCTGTAGCATCAATGGCAACTAGATAGTTTTCAACCTATTCAGCCTATCCCTTTCTCAAAATCCCTTTCCCTGTGATGCACATTCTTAATGGCCACATCTGTACGTCAAGTTTTATGTAAAGCCCCTTTTGCCAGCAGTAAAGCCCCTTTTTCCACTTTGACTGGTTTCACATCTACCTGGAGATTCTTACCAGCTTTTTTGTTTTCCGTGGCACTCTCATAGAATTTAGGAATAGTATGTACATTTTAATGTAAAAAGTAAAGCAATAGATTAATGTACCTAATAAAACCTAATATAAATAGATAAATGTACCTAAATATGAACAAAGCTTATTAATGTGGTGCATCTAGGGATGTGGCAGCCTGTAGATCACATAAAAGTTTTTGCTGACTGTAAGAAAATAAAAAAAAAGTACTGGTGCAGAAATACATCTCTGTCTGAAAAAATAAAATTAGGACTCCTCAAAAATCCATTGGCTTGTCGACATGCAAATGATGCACCAGGTGTCGGTAGTAGGACCTGACAGGAATCCATTTATTCAAGTGTTCTCAGTCAGTGTGGATGGGTCTTTTAGGTTAACATAGCCTATGATTGAGTGATTGAACTACTCTTAAAAAACAAACAAATACATATTGTTAGTGAAATCGGTCAGTTTTTTTTAACTGTTTAATTTGCTATTTTTACTTTTAAAATGTGACTGAGCGAATGTATTTATTTATTTATTTCCTTAGGTCAACATAGATCTGCAACCTGCAAACTAAATCTGACAACACACAAATACTTTTTAACATAATTTTGCATGGCTTGACATTCTAACCCTCTGGAGAAAAATGTAGTGAACTCTGAGATAATTTAAGCACTGTAATCAATTTGAAGTTGTTGCTGTTATGAAGTGACATCTCAGTATTTCTCAAGATTCTGTACGTTGTCATCCACTTAAAAGTAATGCACTCTATCTTAGGTGTAATCCTGCTTTTTTGTCAGTTATATGTGTGCTGGACCTCAATCAGTTGATTCAATAAGGTGTCCATTAGTGTAAAGTAAACTGATAATGTATTTATTTACTGTGTTCTTTGTGATCAAGAAAAGTGTAAAATAAACTCAAATTGACATTTGTTTGTTGTCACTCTTCTATAAAACTGGGGGATTGATTTCCTGATAACAAACTTAAATAAGTTTAGCTAAAAAAACAAAAACAAAATTAAGTTCACACAAAAATTGCTGCAAAAGATCCAACTTCCAAGGCTTTATTTCCAAGGAAAAAAAACTATGATAAAACCCGTTGGAAAGCATCTTTTGCAGGGATTTTTGTGTGAGCATATCAGTTAACACCCCAGACCACCCGGTGAGTTTCTCGGTTAATTTCAATATTAACCCTTCTATTTCATCAGAAATGATCTTAAAACAGGGCTTTAAAGCTGCAGTAGGAAGTTTTGGGAATACATGGACTTCGCCTGAAAATTTGAACAAGCACAACAAACAAGTCCCAACCCCCTGCTCTCTGCTGCGCTACAGCCTTCCCTCCACAGCTCCTCCACCATAGCGGAGTAAGCAGGTAAGCAGGGACACCAATGATGGCGGATAACCAGTTATGGCACATTCACTGGTAGGGACAAAACATCAACAATGCTTTACATTGACTAAGGCCTGCCCATAATTTGCCTACAAACTTGATCCTCATTTCATTATGTATTTTGCGATACATGTAATGTAAATTTATAATGTTGCACCCTTTCTATAAGTTATAAATAGTTAGTAAAATAATATAAATTCTGTAATATAATTCAAATAATTATTCTAGCGATATGTAGGCCTCATGCTAGATAAGGTTTGCTAGTACATTTGTAACGGGGGTTCAGTTGTTTTGGTAAAAGGGAGGTAGGAACCCGCGAACGTTCAACAAGTTTAATAATAAATAAACAAATACAAAATTAAAGTATAAGCCAGGAGCCCCTCACGGACAACACACAGAACAGAACATAAAATTACAACGTAAAATCAAGCCTGTTCCTCTCTCCACTGTTGTCGCTCCTCCTTTAAGCCTCTGCTCCTCCGTGAGAGATGCGTGTCGTTCATTATCACTCATGCCACCGGCCTCGTGCCGCTCATGTCCCTTTCCCTCGTCCTGCTTTCAGCAACATGACAAGCCAGTGAATTAGCAGGTTTCAATTGATGCTTTGCACAGTGCGTGACATTTTATCTATATGTAACGCGGCTAGAATTTTGACACCGAGTCAATGGGCTCTGTCTAATTCTTTATTTTTCTTTGTCCCGTCTTTGTTTTATGAGCAGGTGCCACTCAAGAAATTGGCAGTTTAGGTTGTTTCGCTGCAGTTAGCACAGCGGTAGCACACTGGCAATCTTGAGTTTGGTTTGAATGACGGCGCGCTGTGCAAAAGAGGGCCAGCGCTTACACGAGTGTGATTGACACTGCTAAGACACTCCTCCTGGCTCTGATTGGTTGTTTCTGACCAGCAGCGGTGTATTTCTGCAAATGGAAATAGGACCACTGGGAGGAGCCAGAGGAGCTTGATTTTTTTTTCTCTTTCTATTATCTGTCTCTTAGTCTACTGTCAGGACATAATGACAGTTGAACAAATATGTAAATAAATATTTGTTTACAAAAGTTACCTATTGCAGCTTGAAGTGTAAAATACCGAACTTGTCCTTTAATCTGCACGTTTCCACCCACGGCACTTGGTTTTCGGAAGCAACAACAGTGTAACCAGTTCTAACGCAATGCCAAAAGTTTGAGCAAAGCATGCAAACTTTTCTGTCGTTGGATGCACAGATAAGCTAAAAAATGGCGCTAAAATAACCGAAAAATGTCATAGCTGTCTTATGAAGACCTCGGGGAACTGTGTCAACTTGTGTAAAAGTTAAACATGACGGTACATGCAAGTCGATGAGATGAATCCGTGTAACTCCACAACAACTATAAATCCACTAAATTCAGAAACTTCTAGGTGCAGTCTAACAGTCTCTCCGTAAGCCTGCACTCCGCTACTGTTTTTTTCTGGAGGTTTTGGATGATATAGATAATTCGCCCGTTTTGTTATTGCTGGAGTATCCAAAGCTCAGCCCTGAGGGGTCAGCCCTGTTCTGAACTGCCCTGTTCAACTTTTTTGAGCTGAAATTTCACAGACACATTCTGGGGACACCATAGATTTACATTACATCGTTTGAAAAGGGACATAATATGTCACCTCTAATGAGAAACTCATAGTGGAATACAACTTTTATTTTTTAGATGAATTAGTAAAATTTTACCCTGCTTAGCCATGCATTGTAGGACAGTGTTGTGCACTCGAGACTCGGTCTCGAGACCATATTTTAATGGACTCGGTCTTGTCATGGACTTGTGTGCATTTTGACTCGGAATTGACTCGTACTCGAACATATTGGGAGTCGGGACTCGGACTTATTCCCGAGTCCACTCGAGTCCCATTCAAAATAAGTCATGATTATTATTGTATGTTAATATTTCTTTAAATTGTTGTTTGATTAAAACGTCCAATAATTGCTGACTTTCTTGTGCGCAACTGCGCATGACTTGAGACTATAATGTTTGCGGCATGCAAATGCAGCAGGACCCAGGTCAGATGTGATGTGGAGCCTCTAGCTCAACTATGAAAATGTCTGCCTTATCATCCATAATTCAGTTTGCATATAAGAACCTCACAGAATTCGTGTGCAGTAATGTTCTGTGAAAGAGCACTTACCGATTGTAACAATTGTAAGTAATAATCAGAATAAAATTCCCTACACCACTATGTGGCCTTTTTACCATTACAGTGTACATGATTCCATGGTTTGGTTTACTGTTTTCGTATGGTGCCAATTTTATTGTTACCACCAAATATTTGACATATTCTTGAAGATATCTTTAAGTCTGGTTTGAGACCCAACCTTGGACTTGGACTCGACTGTTTTTGGTCTCGGTCTCGACTCTCTTTGGTCTCGACTCGGACTCGACCCTCTATGGTCTCGGTCTTGACTCGTACTCGAGTGAGCTGGTCTCGACTACAACACTGTTGTAGGATTATTTCAACTAAAGCCCAAATGTATAGCCTTTCAAAGTAAACTCATGTGTATACCATGAGTTATGAGTTACCTCTCCATGAGTTATAACCCACATTGTTTAATCAGGTACTTTCTAATCTCCACGTACAATCTCTCATCCACATAGGCATCCACTGTTGTGGTTTGCTGGCAATTTGGCCTCTTTTGTTTATTTGTTTTATTCTTCGACTACCTGAATCAGCAATCCTGGGGCACTGTTGCCACCTTGTGGACCAACTTATTATTGCACAAAAAAAGTGTACAGAGTAGGCTATGGAAAAATCGGGCTGTAGTATTCACGAAATGTGCTGATGGCGAGTCTGTCAGTCTGTGTTCTGTTCACGAGCCGCTAAATCTGCGATCAAACCTACTCAGTGATTAACTGTAATAAATCCAAACTTGAATCTCGACTATTGTTTGCCATTGTGGTTGAATAAATCAATCATAGCGTCAGTTCTGGCAGGTCACGTTAGACAAGCTCACATCAGCTGATTCACGTCTACCTATAGGAATAAAAGCCTATCAAAGCATCCCTATATAAGGTCCATTTAGTATTATCAACAGCTTTATAATTGTGCCATTTACCCTCCTACATTCCCAACTCCTCCTTTCGTCCAGTCAGGGTTTGGCCTTCTGATATTCCTCTTCGAATGAGACTCATTATTATGTTGTTACATTGAATTATTGTCATTATGAACATTATTTTATTTATTTATTTATTTAGAAAAGGGACCGTGTACATTAATAAACATTCTTAAATGTAAATGTACCCAAATTAGCCCAAAGGCTAGTTTTCATTGGTAGTCCCTTTGCCAGATGTTATTAGGCCCAGGTGAAAAAGACGTTGTATTAAATGTATTAAAAATATATTTGAAATACAAATAGTGTGTTTATAATACATTTGTATTTACAACATGCTTATTTAAAGTGTACTAAAAATGTATTTTATTGCATTTTAGTATATTTCTAAAAAGTATACTAGAAGTACATTGGTAATAAATATATATTTAATTACACTTTTAAGAAATATACTATAGAAAAGCATACTTTTAATGTATTTATAAAAAGTATATTAGTAATATATTGGTAATAAATGTATGCTTTATTATATTTTTAATAAATATCCTAATGATAATTATACTTTAAATGTATTTCTAAAAAGTATATTAGAAGTACATTGGTAATAAATATATGTTTAAATACACTTTTAAGAAATACACTATAGAAAAGCATACTTTTAATGTATTTCTAAAAAAGTATATTATTAGTACATTGGTAATAAATGTGTGCTTAATTATATTTTTAATAAATATGCTAATGACAATCATGCTTTAAATATGTTTCTAAAAAGTGTACTAGAAGTACATTGGTATTTAATTACATTTTTAAGAAATATGCTAAATACAAACATATTTTAATTATATTTAAAAATGTTTTACTAGAAACGCAATGATAATAAATATACACTTAATTACACTTTTAGAAATATGCTAAAAACAAACATAGTTTTAGTGAAGTTTTAGTGTATTTACAGAAAGCATACTTGTTGCTAAATTAAAGTATTTTTGTGTTCACTTCAAGTTTAAAAATTCAAGTCCCTTTAATTCCCTTCCTAACATGAAGGCAATTAAACATGTATCGAAATTAATTGTATATTTCTACAAAGACTAGAAGTAGCACTTTAATTATAAATATGTGCTCAGTTAAGCTTTTAAGAAATATACCAAAAACTAACACACTTTTTGTAATACTACCAACACTTAACTCAATGCATATGTATTTCACACTTTATATTATGTGTTTTAGGTTTAACTTTTTTAAATTAATTTGTTATAATTATGAAAAGCACTAAAATTTGACTAACAAGTAATGCACTTCTATACTTCTGCATTAATTAATCAAATAGTCTTTTCCACAAAACAAGTGAATACCAGTACTTGCACACATCAACATAAAAGATCAGGTGTACATACTAGAAAAACAAAATACATTTCTTAAAGCTTGACTCTTACATTTGTTTAGCCAAAATGAATAAAAAACTTGTTATAAAGCA